CGAGAAGATTTATTCACTTCCTTAAAAAAACCCACAAACACAGCAGAAAGAGCGATTTTTAATCTCAACAAAGAGACGATTAAAAAAATCACTGTTTTAATCCCTAATTTCAGGGCTGAAAGCTGCTACTCAGTGACGTTTACGCCAAGATGTAAAAATGATCTGTAACTGAGCATCAGCACTGTGGACTTTACCATAGTTTGAGTTCTAAATCTCCTTTTTTGCTTTATTTACCCATGATCCTCTGCTTCCAGCTACGACACGCTGCTGGCCCACAACGCTCGGCTGCACCCGGGCGAGGACAACTTCACGCGGACGATGGTGAAGCGCAACAACGAGACCATCTTCCAGCAGACGGTGAACGACCTGACCTTCGACGGCAGCTTCGTCAAAGTGGAGGAGGACGAGGCGGAGGAGACGGCGCGCAGTTCCTTCTGCTTGCTGGGACAAGGACTGCTGCTGTGCATTTACAGGAGGTTTAAAAATGAAACATTAAAAATGGACGAGTGGAGCCATAATCGCTCTGTTGGCGTTTTTCTGTCTGAAGATGATGAACTTTGACACGTGTTGGTGTGTTGGGTGTTATCAGTTACTCTAACCTGCCTTCAGGGCCTGGATCTGGACTGTTTTGGCTCTTAATCTTTCACATTTCTTTTTAAATAAACGCACTTCCTGTCAGGTGGTGTGAGCGCGGTACCTCTTGGTGTGGTAGTCACACTCCATGCAGACATAGGAGGTGTTGAGGACGACGTCGGGATGCTCCGTGTCCACGTGCATGGTGAACAGGTTGAGCTCCGACGTCTGGAAGCTGCAGTATTTGCACTCGTAGCCTCCCTCCGCTGCATTCAAGTCCAGGTAGGGGTCCGACGCCACGACGTCACGCCTGCCGTCGGCCTCCTCTCCTCGCTCCTCCAGCAGGCCGGAAGCCTCCGAGGAGACGGTTGCCGCGCCGTTGCTGTCCTCTGGATCCGCCGCGCCTGTTACATCCTCCATCTCCTGGTCCGAGTCCACAGTTTCTCGGGGAGGAACCATGCAGGGGATGGTGGACTTCCTCCTGCTCGCCATCCTGAGTTTGGGTGAGCGCCGCGTTCAGCCGAGTGTTGGAGCCGACTCAGTTCAAGCCGTCCTGTCGTGGCTCCATAAAGGAGGAGGTCACCAGTCGAAATGTTCCCTTCGCTGTCTTTAAACCCTGTGGCACAGAAATGCATCATTACTCAGAGCACATCCCCACGATCACGCCACCTGTTCTTTAAGATCACACATCAGCAGTTAACCCTTTAAAGCCGGTCGGAGCGGGCACGCTCCGTTTTGCGTAACTGTTTTTAAATCCCTGTAGAACCGGAACCATGTAAGCTAGCGCAGTCATTTTTTTGCATATGAAACCAGTGGAGTTGTACTTACATCTGATGCCATCAGCTTGTCCTCAGTCACGGTTTCCTTCCACATAAAGTTTTGCAAAAATTGCATAAAAAGCACTTGCAGCAACAAAAACATAATATTCCAGAAACACGCTTTGCCGATCCGATCAGCTGTTCGTAACACTTCCTACATTGAAAAAGACGTCAGTGCGAATTATCGCATGTCGGCCATGACCTGCCCGAAACCGGAAGTGACGTCATTTTCGCGGAAAATGTAGTTTTTTACTTGTAGGCCTTAAAAGCCTATACTGGTGTTTTTAAAAGTCATGTTTGACTTTATGCTTTTCTGAATAGTTGCTGGGATGCTTAGAACTCAAATTGCACTGCTGGAAATAGTTTATTTTATTTTGATGCGGTTTTCTCTGCAAATTTGCATCATAGGATTGTTTTTCGTTTTTTCTGCAGTGTATAAAAATTGGTGTATCACAAAAATAAAACTATGAAGACACTCAAAATAAATTTCCTGTTGTTGTAAACTATTGTTTGCAACTTTTTGTATTTAAAATTTCTCCAAGTAGAAATATATGTAAAAAAAAACCAAAAACGATTTCCAATTTTTTGTAGTTTATTGCACTTTTTTGCATTTTATGTAGTTACTATGGACTTAATGCATAAATATTATTAAAATCTGGGCTATAATGGTTGTATTGATGTATAGCAACTTGAAATGCTCCCGAAAATGGCTCCACAGCATGT